ATTTTTTGATTGCCTTTTCGTAAATGTCATTCATACCCCCTATTTTAGCATAAAATTATAAATAATAACTATGAATATAAATAATCAAATTCTAGGAACTTCTATTTATAAATGTGATAATTGTTCTGATAAAATCCCTACTGGCTTGGAAAAACCTTGCTGAACTAAATGATGGCACACATGTCTATAAACTCCTCTTTTGTTATATATGTAAGAGAGGAAATAAACTTTCTAAACCCTATAACTTTGACCCAAAAAAAATTACAGAAAGCCCAGAGTTTAAGCAGTGAGAGAGAAATACACAAACTTTATCATCTTTATTTTCCGAGGAAGAAGCGGAAAGAAATAGAAAAGATTTAGAGAGGGTTAGATGAAGTTTACCAAGAATAAATGAAAAAGGGTAAAAAAATTTGGCAAAGGAAAGTTTTAAAAAATTATATCAAAAATTGTTAAAAAGCGGAAATTAATTATTAAAACAGTAGTATTTATAGTTTTATAATTATAATCAATTAAAGAACGAAATACTTTCAGACAACTTAAAATTCGCTTGGAACGATATGCCAGAATAATAATACAGCAAAAAATTAATAATATATGCCCGAAGACGAGAAAAAATTAGCCCTTATTCGAAATATTGGTATCATGGCCCACATTGATGCTGGTAAAACTACTACTACTGAACGTATCCTTTTCCATAGTGGGAAAATCCATAAAATTGGGGAAGTTCATGAAGGAAAAGCCCAAATGGACTTTATGGATCAAGAGCAGGAACGGGGAATCACTATTCAATCAGCCGCTACTACTGTCTATTGAAAGGATCACCAAATAAATATTATTGATACTCCCGGCCACGTTGATTTCACCGCCGAGGTGGAAAGGTCTTTGCGAGTTCTGGATGGTGGAGTAGTGGTTTTGGATGGAAAAAAAGGGGTCGAAGCCCAGACCGAAACGGTTTGGCGACAGGCCAAAAAATATAAAATTCCGCGGTTAATCTTCATTAACAAAATGGACGGAGTTGACAATGTAGAAAAATTTACTGAGAATTTAAAAAGCATTCGGGAAAAATTACATGCTGATCCATTACCAATACAGTTTCCAATTGGAGCCGGCCGAGAATTAGAAGGGTTAGTAGATATAATAGAACAAAAGGCTTATTATTGCCAAATGGGAGATAAGGAAGAGAAATACCAAATAAAAGACATCCCTCCTAATTTAGCGGAAAAAGCCAAAAAATATCGTCAAGAATTACTTGAAAAAATTATTGAACAGGATGAGGAAGTGGCAGTAAAATATTTAGAAGGTCAGGAATTATCAGTAGCAGAAATTAAAAAACTGCTTCGCAAGGCCACTCTTACTGGCAAGTATTTTCCAGTGTTTTGCGGTTCGGCTTATAAATATGTGGGAGTAAAGTTAGTTTTAAACGGAGTAGTAGATTATTTACCTTCTCCTTTGGATATAACCGAAATACCTGCTTTCTCCCCCCATGACAAAAGTAAGCAGAAAATAGTTAATTGTCATAGTCCTTTGTCTTGTTTGGCACTGGCCTTTAAAATTATGGTTGATAATTATAATAATAAACTGACCTTTTTTCGAGTTTACGCCGGAGAAATGAACGCTAATTCCTATGTCTACAATGTTAGTCAAGGGAAGGAAGAAAGAATTAGTCGTTTAGTAAGAATGCATGCTAATAATAAGGAAGAAGTTAAAAAAGTAGGAGCCGGCGACATTGCTGCTGCGATTGGTTTAGAGCACACTATTACTGGGGACACGTTTGGTGAAAAAAGTAATCCTTTGCTTCTCGAAACCATTGACTTTGCCGAGCCCGTGATTTCCCAAGCCATCGAGCCAAAAACTAATGAGGATAAAGATAAATTGAGAGATGCACTGGAAAAATTAAAAATCCAAGACCCCAGTTTTAAATATTGAATAGACCGGGAAACGGGACAAATGATTATTGCTGGAATGGGAGAATTACATTTAGAAGTTTCCGTAGAAAGATTGCGCCGAGAATTCAAACTAGAAATAGAAAGCAAGCCACAAAAAGTATCCTACCGGGAAACGATTACCAAAAAATTGGAAAATGTTTGAGGAGAGTACAAAAAACAGTCCGGAGGAAGCGGACACTTTGCCCGGGTTAAACTTACCTTTGAGCCTAATAAAGGAAAGGGTTTTGAATTTGTGGATGCCAAAAAGGGCCAAGAGATGTCCAATAAAGACGCAGAGGAAGTAAAAGAAGGATTAGAAGAGGCTATGTCATCCGGTTTACTTTTGAATTATCCTTTGCTTGATATAAAAGTTACTTTATTAGAAGGAAAAAGGCATATGGTAGATACCAAACCAGGTGATTTCAAAAATGCGGCAGTTTTAGCCTTCCGAGGCGATGGAGTAGCCGAAAAAGAAAAAAGAATTCAAGAAATGGGAGTAGTTTTATTGGAACCAATTATGCAAGTAGAAGTAATTATTCCTAAAGATTATATAGGAGATGTTTTGGCTAATCTTGGTTCACGCCGAACAATAATTGAAAACACGGAAGAAAAAGAAGGGGAAAGTTATATTACCGGTAAAACTCCCCTCAAAGAAATCCTCAATTATTCGACTACTTTACGGCAATTAACCAAGGGCCGCGGCACTTATTCCATGTATTTATCCCATTATCAGGAAGTTCCTGCTGAGGTGTTAGCAGAAATATTAAAAGAAGAAAAATTGTAAAATAGATTAAGTTAATAAAAAAAGATAAAAAGACAAAATTATAATAAACTATATATATATATATATATATGAACTACAACAAAATAACTGAAACTGAATTTAATAAATGAGCCAAAGAGTTAAATAATTTCCTGTGAGTAGAAATAAAAAACATTCCCCAAGGAAAAGAGCGTGAAGAAGCAATAGAATTTATCTCTTTTTTTAACGTGCATATAAGGTTGCAAAATACCTTGGCTTTGGCTTCTTTGGTGGATTTTCTTCAAAGAAATTTTGATAATTGTGGTTCTGAATTTCGCAATAGAAAGTGGTCTGATTTAGGGAATAGGACTTATGAAGAATGACTTGATTATCTAGTTCAACGAATAAACCAACATCACCAGGTTCGGATAAATTATAAACCGGATTTGGATGCTTTAAAGTCCCGCCGGAAAAAAATTAAAGGATGGAATCGGGACGAGGATTTTTGTAGCCGACTTTTCGGTCAAATTTCCAAAGACAAGGAGGTTTTTGATTTGATTTGAAATCTAAAAAGTTTTTGGGAGGAAAGTGATAAAAAATTTTCTTCCAGCAAGGAAAAGGGAGAGACATCAGAAGAGTTTATAAGGAAATTTATCTACTTGTATGAAGATTATACCAAAATTGTCGAACAAGTTAAAGATAAGTTGAATCAAGAAAATTCCCCTAACTCACCAGGCAAATCAAATCACAACTCAAAAAATCTTCGTATCAGCAAATTAGATCAAGAAAAGAAGCAATTGGAAAGAGAAAAAAAAGAATTAGAGGAAAAATTAGCCGAACAAGGATTAGGTTCAGACGAGAAAAAAAGTAAAGAATTAGAACTGGATAACATTCGCAGATTGCTGGAAGAAAATGGGAAAAGGCGGGAAAAATTAAATGGAAAAGGAGATAAACCAGTTAACTCTCAAAAAGATAACATTAAACTTAATTGAGCCATTGGCTTAGGAATTGTAGCCGTAGTTATTGGTCTCATTTGTTTAATTTTAATGGCTAGTCGGAGAAAAGAAAGATAAGGCAAATGTTTTATTCCTTGAGTGGGATAGATATTTTTAAGAAATAAAACATATTATGACCTTTCTCGCTTTTGGTAATCATACTGTCCGCAATTTACTCCACTCTCCTTATTTTTCTTTTAAAAAAATACTTTTGCGAGTTGAACACCACCAGGATAAAGAATTACTTAAACTGCTAGAAAAAAAACAAATACCTTATCAGTTATTAAATAAAGAACAGTTTTCCCGTTATAGTCCTGACAAAAAAAGTCAAGGAATAGTCGCTTTTATCCGTAGTTATGAGTATATTAAATTATCTTCTTTGTTATCGTGCCAACCGCGACGGAAATTTCCTTTAATTATTATGTTAGATGGGATTGAAGACCCTCATAATTTTGGGGCAATTTTACGAACTGCTGCAGCTCTTAATATTGACGGAATGATTATTGCCAAGAAAAATCAGGTACCCGTTAATAGCACGGTAATTAAAGTTTCAGTGGGAGGAGTAGCCCATGTTCCAGTTTGTCAGGTTTCCAGTTTGCCCGAAGCACTGAATGAGTTAAAAAAAAGAGATTACAAAATTATTTCCACCATCTGTGAACCTGGAGCCGAAGAGTATAATAAATTCAATTTTGACTTTCCGACTTGTCTAATTTTTGGTAATGAACATGAAGGAATCAAAAAAAATTTAATTAAAAAAAGTGATTATTCTCTTTACATTCCTATGAGTAATAGCATTGGTTCTTTAAACGTTTCAGTCAGTTGTGGTATTATTTTGTCAGGAGTGGTCTCCCAATGGGGGAAGTAAGTGGAGTGAATTATTAAGTGATAAAAAAACTTTTTAAAATTGGAGAAATAAAACTAAAATAAAAAATAATGGCCATGGATAGTGGAGTTCATATCCCAGTAATGCTAAAGGAGGTTCTTGATTATCTCAACCTAAAAAAGGAGGGAATTTATATTGACTGTACTTTTGGCAAAGGAGGTCATTCGCGAGCCATTCTTGAAAAATTAGAAAAAGGCAAATTAATTGCTTTCGAATGAGACAGGGAATTTAGCAGTTTAGTTCAAAAAGACAATTTTTTTCTTTCTCCCCACTTTTGTCTCATTAATGATAATTTTGCTAATCTAGAAGAGTATTTAAAGGAAATGGGCGTCCAAGAAATAGACGGAATTTTGTTTGATTTAGGTCTTTCTTCAGATCAGTTGGCGGAAGAGAGAAGAGGATTTAGTTATCGGCTAAACTCGCCACTTGACATGAGAATAAGTGAAGAAACCAAATTAAGAGCGGAAGAGATTATTAATAATTACCCTTGTGAAAAATTGGCCGACATTTTTTATCATTATGGAGAAGAAAGAAAAGCCCGAGCGATTGCCCGAAAAATCTGCTACTGACGAGAAAGAAAAAAAATTACTAGCTCAGAACAATTAGTAGGTATAATTGCTTCCTGTTTTTCTCACAAAACTAATAAACACCCAGCTCGCAAAGTGTTCCAAGCCCTACGAATATTTATTAATAATGAGTTAGAAAATCTGACCCAAGCCCTGGAAACTACCCTTAAATATTTGGCAATAGACGGAAGAATTGTCGTTATTAGTTATCATTCTTTAGAAGATAGAATTGTTAAGCAAATATTCAAAAAATATTCCTCTCATAATTTTCAAATTATCACTAAAAAGCCCTTGATTCCCACTCAAAAAGAAGTCCAGGAAAACCATCGGGCTCGGAGTGCCAAAATGCGGGTTATTGTTAGAAAGGCTTAAACAAGATATTATTAGTGTTCATAAGGGATTAAAGATTATATTATTAATTTTAAAAAAGAAGTAAGTGGATAAGGGTTTTTTAATTATTTTTGGGAGAAACTTCTATATTAACTTCCATCTCTTGTGCTAATTGCAAATCCTCTAAAACTTTTAACTCTTCTTGTAGAGTTTCTAGTTTATCATTATCTTTTTCTTTAGTTATTTGCTCTTTTTTCTCAATAATGTAAGCTTCGAGAAATTGTTTGAATTGACTTTGAGTAGTCTTTAATCTTTCTTCTAAATCTTTTGCTTTGTTTTGCTCTTGCCGGGGAGATAATTCTACTCCCGACTTTTCTTTTTCGGGAGGTTCTAACTCGCTTAATCTAATTAACAATTCCTTTTTTTTCTTCTCTAATTCCTCAACTTTTTTTCTTAACTTTTTTACTAAAGGTTTTTTTTCTAATAATAGGTCTTGGGCCTCCCGTCAGGGAGCCAGTCGATATCAAGTGTCCTTACTTCGTGCTGATTGTGGTTCATTTTCCTCTTCTTGAATCAATTGCTCAGTTACTCCAGTAATTCGGGTAGATTTTTCTAATTCTTTGCAAATCTTGGCACAACCACTATTATCTTTTGGACTTCAATCCTTTTTACAACCAATTTTTTTCAGACTTTCAGGTAAGTACTCTAATCCATGATCTATATCTGTTTTAGCAATACTTAACCATTGTAATTTAGTTAAGTTCTGTAAAGGCTCTAAGGAGCCAGTAAAGCAATTGTATATTCCTTGGTTAAATTTGTCTTCATCTGAATTGTCGAGGTATAGTTCTTCTAAGTTAGTGAATTGGCTTAGGAATTCTAAGTCTTGTTTGGAGAAATTATTACTATGAATACTTAAAACTTTTAATTTTTCAGCGTTGAGATTACTAAGAAAATTAGTATCGGAAAGCAAGTTATTGCCTACATTGAAAGAGTGAATATTAGGACAGTTATTAATAACTACATTAGTAAGTTGGCAATAATTAGCATTAAAACTAGTAAGTTGGGGTAAATTAAGGAGAGTGATACTAGTAAGTTGATTATTATCACGACATTCGATTGTTTTTAGACTAGCAAATCCTTTGATGACTAATGAGTCTTCGAGATGTTTATTACGAGCAAAGATTTTTGTGGTGTTTTGCTTGTCTGGATAAGTTTTGGTTAGTCAGGTTTGGGCATTGGGCATATGGTTATTTTTTGGGTGGGATTTGGATTTGAGTCTGTTGTTCTTCTAGTTCAATTACTTTTTTGTTGACCATATCGATGAATAAGTTTTTGTTTTCTACTTTTTTGGGAGCCTTTGACTCGTCGTTTGGTGAACTATCAATTCTGTTAAAAGACAAATCATCAAGCAATAGTTTCCTTTGTTTTCTAAAAAACTTCAATATGTCCACTGGACAATCAGAATTGCCTTCGCTAGGTATTAGGATAGCAAATTTTTCACTACCCTTTCACTGTTCTTTATTTGGTATCACTAACGTATCGCCTGCTTTTATTTTTTCAAGGGTTTCCTCGGCTCCATGCAAGTAAAAGAAGTTGTTCTTTGCAAAAACTAAAAAGCTATTTTCATTTGAAGTAACTCTAAACTTTTCTATTATGTACTTAGAACCAGATAACTTGATTCCATTTCCTGAAAATTCGATACTCCTCAACTTACAGTGGACTCTTATTCCTCCTCATACTTTAACTGAACCCTCCTTGTCGATGGTGGGTATTCACCATTTATCTATTTCTTTTCTTCTTGGTCCAATTCAAGCCAAAGGCTCAGGATACCCTTCTTCTATCGCCATTTTCACTATACCAATTAAATTTTCTTCCAACTCTTCTTTAGTATATATTGGATACTTTTTCTTATCTTTGTTATGAAAACAATTCTTAGTTTCTTCTTGGTTAGGACACTGCAAGCATATTTTTGGTTTGTATTTTACTGGTACTTGATCGCCGTATGGTAATAGCCCTAAGATAGAATAAATACCATCAACAGGAGTTCCTCGGCCACGGTTCTTGACAACAGCTAGAGCTTGAAACAATCCTAAATGTTTTAAATTGCTTCTACTTTCGAAATAAGTTCATCCTAAAGGAGTAATAAATATTCTAGGATCTTCATTTAATTTCTCGTAATAGCAAAAATCATCTAACTGTCAATAAATCATCGCCCAAACTTGAGCCATCACTCTACCATCTATCAATTCATCATCAAACATAAAAACTGTTTCTTTTGACAATAAGCCTTCTTGATAGGTTCATGACCTAGCGAATCATTGAGAGTTCACCACCTTGTTTAATGCTTCTCTTGCAAATTCCTTTTTGTTTTCTTCATTTATAATTTCTTTTTTCAAATTTGTGTTAATAGAAATCAAAGTTACTTCACTATCCCCATAACATTTTCTCATTTTTTTGACCTCCTCTGCTTTTTCTTCACGGTCTTTTTGGTTAATGCAGAGTTGGTCTATTCAGAGATAATTAATTCCTAAATATTCACAGGCTTTAATTGCTTTGGCTAGACTTTTCTTACCTCATTTAGTAATAATTAACTTTTCCTCATATTCTTCGTTGTCTTTTTGATAAACAACTTTCATCTCCTCTAATAAAGACTTATCCCGCATATTGCCTCAAACATAAGATAAAGTAGCATAAGATTTTATGTTAGGATTGTCTTCAGTTCATTCTACTTTACCTGTTTTTATATTGTAGAGTTTGATGGGAAAGTGTTTTAATGATGATAAGTAAGTTTGATTGGTCTCCCAGGAAAAAGGACGATTATCTTGTAAAGAGACTTTTGTATAGTTCATTTTTTCTAGAGTATGGCTTTCTTTAATTTTGTTTTTTTTAATTTGAAATATGCTAAGTGATGTAGTTGGTACATCTGAAACTATTTTTGAGAGGCGCTTTTTGTGGGAATTTATGTTTTTTTTTATCTCCATTGATTTTGAGTTAGTTTCTCTTAAGAACTTAATGTTTCCTCCATGAAAAAATAATTCATCACTGATTTTTTTTGCTTCGGGATGAGAAATTTCTTTGCTACGACAAGAAATTGATTTTAAACTAGCGGGCAAATATTCTAGGCCAGAATCAATAACAGTGTTATCAATGTTTAGGAATTCCAGTTTATTCATGTTTTTTAGTGGTTCTAATGAACCATAAAAGCAGTTAGAAATTCCTTGTTTTATTCTCTGTTCATCATCGTTTTGAATTTCAAGACGCTCTAAGTTAGTTAAATGACTTAGAAACGATAAATCTTGCCAAAAAAAATTGTTGTTACTCAAATTTAAAATTTTCAACTCCTTTGCTTCGAATGGTAATTTTATTTCTCTGAGAAAGTTACGAGAACAATCAATTAATATGAGATTAGAGCAATTAACTAAATTTAGGGTAGACAATTGATTGTCATGGAAGTAGAGAAACTGCAATTTTTTGCAATTATCAATTTTTAGTTCAGTTATTTTATTGCTTAAGTTGTCGTTGCAATCAATAAGTGATTGTAAATTCATGAAATCTCGTAAATTTAAGTAGCCTCCTATTTTTTTCCCTGAAATATTTAGTTCTCTGACATCATTCCTTCTCTTACCATAATTTTCTCTATCTGAACTTAATGAACAAGTTCCATTTTTTGGATAATTGCGGTCTAGCCACTCTTGAGCATTTACTGTCTTTCTTTCTTTTTCTTCTTCTGCCGATAATTCATTTTCATAGTCTTCCCTTAACTTATAAATATTTATGTTATTCAAACACCATTCAGGAGTACAATCTTTTTCTTTTAAATGATTAGCAAGTTTAGCATTTTTTGGCTTCAAACCCACATCTATTCACTCTTTGCATTCGTTGTAGGTAAATCCTCTTTCTTCCCACTCTGCTTGCAATTCTTCAGTAAATTCTTTAGTTATATTTTTCCAGTTCTTTTTATTTTCTTTGCCTATTTCTTTCCAATCAATTTTGTAATAACTCTTTTTCTTCCTTAAGTACTCTTGAAACTCTTTTTTTAGTTCTTCTTCATCGCCCTCATCTGAAAATCATTCGGCATCTATTTTTTTGACATCTCTTAATCATTTAGCATAATTTGCATTAGTAGGCTGTAAACCACTTTCTAATCATTCTCTGGTTTCTTTTTTATCAAAACCACACTTTATTCATTCTTGAGTTAGTTCTTCAGTAAATTCTTTAAAAGGGTAGATTTTTTCTTTTCAGTTAACTCTTTTTTCTGATTGAGCTATACTTTTTTTGTTAAGATATTCTACATATTCATTTCTTAATTCCTCATCGCTTCCATTATTTAATACTCAATCGCTGTCTATTTTTTTGACTTCTCTTAGTCACTGAGCATATTCGGCATCATTAACAGTTAAACCAATATTTATTCACTCTTTACATTCATAATAGTCAAAGCCTTTATCTTCTCACTCGTTTTGTAGTTCTTTAGTGAAATTAGTGTGTATATTTTTTCAGTCTTTCATATTTATTTCTTAATTTTCTTGTGATTTCTCGCCAGAATAAAGATTAAAAGTAAAGTAAATAAGCCAATTACTCCTATTCCAATATAAAGCATAGTTTTGCTTTCTGGCTCAGAGTTATTAGCATTAGAACTACTCTGTCTTCTCAATAACTCTTCTAATTCCTTCTTTTTACTATCTAAAAGTGCTTGTTCAGTTAGAGTTTTATTAGACTTATTTTCTAACTCCTTAATTTCTCTTTCTAAGATACTAATCTGAACCTTGATTGGCAAAGATTTAGTTAGTTCTTTTTCTTGCTCTTCTAATTCTCTTAACTTTTTCTTTTTAGTTTCTAGTTCTGATTGGTTAGCAGTAGGATTTTGTTCTAATTGCATGATTTGAGTAAGTAATTGGGATTGTTGAGATTGGAGTTGGTTTCTTTCTTGTGAATTATTGTTATTCTTTTTCTTCTCTATCTCCTGATTCATCTTCTCCAAGCATTCTTGCTTATCACAAACTTCAAAAAGTTCAGTTTTAGTAGAACAATAACGACAATAAATAGTGGGATTTCATTCTTGATCTGGTTGTTCTTGTTTTACTAATTGATAACAAGGAGAACAATAAGAATTATCTCCATCGTGAATAATGTTTAAGTGTTTAGTGTAGTTTTTGTTCTCATTCACACACTTAGAACAGTATTCACCATAGTATTCTTGGTAGCAACTAGGGGAGCAGAATTTGTGGTTGTCGTTCTTTTTTTTACATTTCCAATATTTACCATTTTTATCTTTATAGCATTCAGCACAAGTATAAGCATTTTTCTCATTGCCTTTTTCTAATACTTCTTCTCTAATTACTTGGCGACCATCTTCTTTTTTATTTTTATTTAGATTTTGATAAGTTTGTTGACCCTCCTTTGGCAGTAGATTATGTTTTTTCTTTAACTTTGTAAATAATTTTAACTTTCTATTATTAAACTTTCCTGTTTCATCTATATGAACCATTCCGCTTAAGCCTTTGCTATTAATAAAGCCTGCTAAATCACTGAATTTTCTGTCATAGTCTTTTTCGCACTTCTTAATTTCTTCTAATAACTCTTCTGATTTGCCAATCTTGTTTAGTTTTTTATAGTCTGCTTCTAATTTATCAAAAATCTCTCTTTTTAATGTTTCAGCATGCCTTTTAAGATTTTCTTTGTCCATGTTCATAAGTAGGTTTTTTTTACTATATTATAGTTTTACAAAAAATATTACCTCTACTGCTGAATATTTTAAAAAGTCTTTATTGACTTATTTTGCTATCTCTTTTTATCTTCCCTTAAAAACAAAAAGTAAATAATCAGCACTAATACTCCGGTCATCAATAATTTATCATAAGCACCTAGTTTAGGTAATTTTCAAGGAGTAGATGGGGTTGGTAAAGTTGGTTTTTCTTTTTCTTTGTTTTTCTCATCTTTTATTAACTTTTCTACTTCTTTTTTGAGTTGCTTATTGTCAGTCTCTAGAAGGATTATTTGCTTTTTAATTCTTTCTTTTTCTTCAGGAGTGGTGTCGGGGTTGTTTAACTTCGATTTAAGAGTGTCTAATTCTTTTTCGTTGCTTTTAATCTTCTTTTCCTTATTTTCTCTTTCTTTCCTTATCTTTTCTAATTCTTCTCTGTTCTGTTTCATCATAGCATTAAAATGCTCATTCTGCAACTTCTGTTGCTCTAGTAATTGCTGAGTGTTGTCATCACTTTCACTACTACCTCCAAATAGTTTTCCGAAGATTTTACCTCCTACAAATCCTAATCCTCCAGTGGCAAACATACTGGTTCCTGCGGTAAAAGGAGCCATGCAGACTCCAGCAACAGTTCCTAATAAGGCTCATTTATTTTCCTCTTGTTCTTGTCTTTTTGTCATATTATTTTTTGATTTGTGATTTAATTTCTTGTAATTGGTTAGTTAATTGTTGTAATTGTTGATGGTAGGTTTCAATATTTTTAGTTCAATTGGCAAGGGTAGATTTGATTTCTTTTATTTTGCTTTCTATTTGTTTAATTAGTTGTTGGTTGGTCATAGTTTTTAGATTTTTTTTCCTATTTCGGCTAACATTCCGGTTATTTGGGTAATTCCTAAGTTGAGTGTTCCAACATATTCTCCTCCTCTTGAAGATATTTCTTCTCTGATTTCGGATATTCTGTTATTAACTTCTTCTAAGCGAATAGCTAATGTTTCATCAACTTTAGCAATAGTCTTTTCTACTACATCTTCAATCTTTGGTGGCTTTGGAGAAGCAAATTTACCATCAAAATGTTGCAGTTGTCCAGTATCCTTTAGATTTCAAAAGAACTCAAAGAATTCACCTCATTGAATACCTTTCTTTTTGATTATTTCTTCTCCTTTTTCATCAATTTCCTTTTCTTCTTTTAGGATTTTTTGCGTTTCATAATTAGTGATAAATCTATTTCAGAAGTCTACTGCATTAGGAATAGGAGTTCCATCAAGTTTCTTGCCAAGAAAATAAGTTTCGAAGGATGGCATGTTAAATCTATTTACTCACTTATTATCCTCCTTATTAAGAACAGGGTTTTCTATTCAATGAGATGGAAATTGATTAGTTATTCCTGCTCGCCTAGAATATCTCATAAAGTCTCCGAGTGTTCAACTAAAATCTAAGGGGTTGCTTAATCTGCCGGGGCGATAAACAGCCCTTTCGATTAACTCCAGATGATTAGTAGCAAAAATTCATAGGTTTTCGGTTTGCTTTTCTTTACTAACTTGCTCCATACATTCTTTGAGGAACGCTAGTTTAATTGGGTCAAAGTATCTGGATTCCCGACTTACCAAATCAGCCTCATCAACAAAAAGAATAAAGCGAATTTCACCATTTTTTTCTCTTTTAAAGCCATAATCATCTTCAAGTGTATGCTCAATGTCACAAATAGTAAAGATGAACTTTTCTAATGGAGCAATCCCAATGTCTGAATCTAGTTTATTAGGACTTAGAGTAGAACCCTTAACTTCAATCATGGGATAGCAATTAGTTTCATAAGTTAGTTTTCTAACTATAGAAGTTTTGCCAGTTCCCTCGGTTCCATAGAACAAAGCGTTGTTGTCTTTTTTATTTCCTGGATCTGGTTTACCTCTACTTGGGTCTAAATATGTTTTATCATATCAATCTTGAATGTCATCATTGAATTCAAATTGTTTGGTTTCTTCATCGAGAGTGAGTTCACCATGGCCACTCGCTTTAGCCTTTTTTTGTTGTTCACTGGTTAATGAATTTCAAAGGCTAGGAGGAAAGTGAATTTTATAGTGAGCAAATGAGTTGAATGCACTTGATTTTTCTACTCCTTGCTCCGCAACTTTTGAATCATATTTATCTTTGTCGGTTGCTAAATAATCATCTGCTCAACTTTTAGGTTCTCTTAGTCAATGAAATTTCTTTTTTTTAATTATCTCTTCTTCTTTTCTCTTTTGTTCTGCTTCTTCTTCAGTTTTGGCTCTTTGATTTTCATCGGCTAAGTGTTTTTCGGCTTGGATAAGTCAGTTAATGGCTTGGTCTAAGTTTTCTTTCTGGTTTTCCAAGGCTTCTTGCTGCATTGGACTTCCATTAGTCCATTGTCGATAACTTTGTAGTCTATTTAACATACTTGAGTAGTCTTGCGGTTGAATATTTTGTAAGGAATTAATATCAGTCTGAATTTGCATTTCTAATTGTTGTCTTTGTTGATCAGGCAAATAAACCAAAAAATAATAGGCTGTAGCACAGAGTAAAAGGATTATTATTAATTGCTGTTGTTGCTTTTCTTTTTTGTTGGTGGGTCTTAGTAAATTCATAATTAGTCATGAGGTCTTGGATATTCTTCATCTTTTTGAGAATAGAGATAAAGAAGTGCTATACAGGCAATAATAACAAAGATTATTAAATGCTTATTAGTTTGTCATCAGTTTTGAGAGGCGTTTTGGTTAGGTTGAAAAGGATTAAGAGGGGTTGGATTTCTTTCTGTTCCTGAACCAGAACCGCCACCTGAACCAGTTGGATTAGAATTGGGGGTTCTGGGATTTCTTGATGGATTACTTCTACCTGATAATTTTTCTTCTATTCCATTAATAAATTCTTCAATACTCTTTTCAGGATCAAAATTTTCTCCTATCTTAATTTTCTTTTGTTCTTCATAATTTGCCTGAAGTTTCTTTTTGTCTTCATCTACTAAAATCAATAATTTTCTTTTCTTATCAGGATCTTTTTCTAAGTTTGCCCTTTTAAGGTTTTCCTCAATTGTTCTTTTGAGATTTTTTTCCTCTATTTTCAGTTTCTTTAACTTTTTCCCTACATCGTAAGGAATTCTGTCTATTTCTCCGCTTAAACTTTCTAAGTCTCTACGGAAGGCACTTATTAATCCGTCTAGATGTCCAGCATAATCAGCCCAAATAATACAAACTCCACCAACAGAAGTGCTGGCACCCGTTCTTACCTGTAAACCATTTATTGCTTCTTGACATTGTCTGGTTAACTTCCGTTTGTTTTCTTCAAATTCTTCTTGGGACTCAAATTTTATTATTTTGGTTTTAGCATTTTTTAACTCAGTAATCTTATCGAAGAATTTTGCTAAAAGTTGACAATCTTCTTTCAAGTTATGAGCCATTCCATAGTCGCAACGACCACCAGTTCAGTATCCTGCATCGCCAGAATGCTCTGCTTTTTTAGACCATATACGAACGCTGGCTATACTTCTAAATTTTCTTTCGATTTCTTCGGCTTTGTATCCCATGAGTTTTATTTCTTAAATGTTTAAATTTCTATTTCTTTAAAAATATTCTTAAATCTCCCCCCTCCTTACCATCCTTTTCAACTTCTCTATCTCATTATCAGTTACTAAATTCTTTACTTGTTCTAATTTCTTTGCTAGAGAGGAGAGTTCTTTACCAACTAATTCATTATCTCGGGCATAAA